CAGCACTGTCCAGTTGGACAAGGACTTGACCTATAAGGAGGAGCCGGTAGCTATTTTAGACCGGAAGGTTCGTCGGTTGAGACCGAAGAATTTCCCTTCAGTTCGTGTGTAGTGGAGAGGTCAGCCTGTTGAGGCAGCTACCTGGGAGTCCGAGTCTGATATGCGGAGCCGATATCCCCATCTTTTCACCGACTCAGGTACTTTTCTATGTCCGTTCGAGGACGAACGGTTGTTTTAGAGGTGGAGACTGTGATGATCCAAAGGGTAATCTTTTGTTTTAGAACCCGAATCTGGGTTTCGAGGCCTTTGAAACCTTATTTTCTTTCTCCTCGATTTGCATGCGCAGTCCGGGCGCATTTCCGGATAGCTTTTATGTGAAATTTAAGAAAAGCTATTAAATTAGGCCTTTAAAATTGATTAAAGTTGACTTCGGTTAACATTTTTGGTACACGGACCCGGACCTATAACTTGACGGTCCCGTAGGATCCGTAGTAAAATATGGGACTTGGGTGTATTCCCGGAATCGAATTCCGAGGTCCCTAGCCCGAGAAAAGAATTTTTAAAGAAAATTGTTTGCTCGAAAATATAAAGGTTTTTAGAAATTGAATAGTGTTGGAACTTGATGGTATCGGGCCCATATTTTGGTTCTGGAGCCCGGCATAGGTCTGTTATAATATTTAAGTCATATCTGTGAAATTTGGTGAAAACGGAAGAGATTTGATATAAATCGGACCCTTGGTTGAGAAAATAGAAATTTTGAACTATCTTGAGGAATTCACGAGTTTTGGTGTCAAATCAGTTGTTTAAGATATTATTTGGTGATTTGATCGCGAGAGCAAGTCCGTATGATATTTTTAGACTTGTGTGCATGTTTGGTTTGGAGCCCCGAGGGCTCGGATGAGTTTTGGATAGGCCACAGAGTGTTTTGGGACTTAGAAAAAAATTGTTGCTGCATCTGGTATTGTCACAGGCTCTGATCTCGCAATTGCGAGGTCAGAATTCGCAATTGCAAGCCTAACAAGCCTGGCAATTGCGAGGGCTTTATTGCAATGGCGAAAAAGCCCAGGCCTGCATTGTTCGCATTTGCGAACATCCCTTCGCAATTGCGAAGTCAACAGGGAGGGTGAACGACCTCAATTGCGACAAATTGCTCGCAATTGCGAGGGGAGCAGACATGCAGCAGGTTCGCAATTGCGAAACCTGTTTCGCATTTGCGAGCTTCGCAATTGCGAAACCTGTTTCGCATTTGCGAGCTTCGCAATTGCAAAGCTCTTGTCGCAATTGCGACATCTGCACCTGATCAAAACATCATTTGGACGGGATTTTCACTTCATTCTTCAAAATTTCAAAACCTAAACTCCAAAGGGCGATTTTCCTAGAGCAAGTTCTTCCCCAAATCATAGGTAAATGAATCTTAACTCTTTTTTTTCAATCTATTTCATCTTTTTACATGATTCACTTCAAAATCTGGGGTTTTTCATGGGAAATTGGGTGTTCTTGGGTAGAAATTAGGATTTTCAAATATTGGGGATTTGGACCTCAAATTGAGGTCGGATTTTAAAACCAATTACATATTTGGGTTCGTGGGTGAATGGGTAATCGGGTTTCGGTTCAAACATCGAGTTTTGACTAAGCGGGCCCGGGGTCGGTTTTTAACATTTTGAGGAAAACATTGGGAAATCTATACTCATGCATTAGAATTGGTTTATTTAGCGTTTATTGATGTTATTAAGTAAATTATGACTAGATTCAAGCGGATTAAAAGTGGAATCGAGAGGTAAAGTGGTAATTGAGGCTTGATTTTGGCTGTGGAATCGAGGTAAGTGTTTAGTCTAACCTTAGCTTGAGGGAGTAGGTGTTGTTGTCTTATTTGCCACGTGTTAGTATTGAGATCGACGTATAGGCATGGTGACGAGTATCTATACGTTGATGTTGAGCGTGCAAGGGAGTTTATATTGTGACCGTTACGTCTCTTATCATGTATTGTTCATGTTTAAAATGATGTTCCTCTATGTTGAGCAAGTTTTATGATATTGTTGAGTATTTGATCATTGATGAGTATTGACTCAAGTTGAGACTTATTTCATGGAACTAAATGTTGAAACGAGATTGGTTATAGTTGATTCCCTTGCCGAAATGTTATTGTTTCTATTGTTGATTTTCTTGCCGGGATGTGTTGTTTCTATTTTTTGGGTGAGGAAGAGTGTATAGCACGAAGAGTGATGTTGTGCCTATATTGTGAGTGAGTGTTAATGCACGAAGGGTGATGTCGTGCCGATATTGTGAGTGGTAATGCACGAAGGGTGATGCCTTGCTATGAATTGAAAGTTAATGCATGAAGGGTGATGTCATGCCATGGTTATGAGAGTTAATGCATGAAGGGTGATGCCGTGCCGTTTCAATTGTTTCTTATGGTGAGGACGAGAGTAAAAGCATGAAGGGTGATGCCGTGCACGTTTTACTGTTTCATTATCCCTATTGATATAAATATGGTGTTCATTTTGCTTCTCTGTTGAATTACTGTTAGAATTTGATATCCCCCGCAGCATGCTTCCCCTTCCCATCTTTATTTGTTATTATTGTTCTGCTCGTATATGATTTAACTGCACAGATTATATGGTTGTCGTGTCCTAGCCTCGTCACTACTTTGTCGAGGTTAGGCTCGACACTTACCAGTACATGGGGTCAGTTGAACTGATACTTCACTCTGCACTTTTTGTGCAGATTTCGGTGCCGGACCTTGTGAGTAGATTTGAGGTTGCTGCCTTCAGTCCAGGGAGACCAAGGTAGATCTGCTGGCGCTCGCAGAGCCTGAAGTTCCCTTTCCCTGTTTTATGTTTCTTCTGTCTCTTCTATTTCGAGAACAGTTGTACGTCTTTCAGACTTATATTTGTAGTACATCTTAGTCGTTCGTGAATTGTGACACTAGATCAGTTGGGGTAGTTATGTATTAGAATTTTTAGATTGCTATATCACTTTCGCATTTCCTAATTATTTTGTTTTAGTTATTATCAGTTCCTGTTTGAGTTAATAATAATAATGGTAAAACTGTAACTGTTGGCTTGCCTAGCTTTCACGAGTAGGCGCCATCACGACTCCCCAAGGTGAAAAATCCTGGTCGTGACAGTTATTTAGGATTTAGTTTATTTAATTCATGTCTAAATAGGATTTGTAGTTACAATTAATATAGCAATAGGCTTTCATGTTTCTAGTTGACATAGGTTTCGCACTATTATAAATAGGGGTATTACTAGCTTATTTTATGTATGAAAAAAAGTGAAGGAAATAGAGAATTGTAGAGAGCATTAAAAGGTTTTTAATAAAATATTTTTCTTTCAAATTGGTATCAGAGCTTCTACAATCTTGGTTGAGAATCAAGTAGCTTCCGCTGCCGGTGGAAGGCGCTAGCCAATGTGTGTCGCCCGTCTGGCTAAAAAATATGTTGGCAAAATCATAGAAAGTTGTCGACAGAATTAGACTATTCGATGAAAATTTTTAAGAAAAAAAAGCAAGTTTAAAGAGGAGCAAACAAAAGGAAGAAACTCTTCTCTAAAAGTTGGAGAGAGGGTCAAAAAAGTTGGAAGTTGATTACGTGCTTTAACAAAATTGAGTGTTGATGACAAAGTGCATCAACGGGTGTTGAAGACATGTGCTTCAACAAAATTGGATGTTGATGACAAATTGCATCAATGGGAGTTGGAGACAGGTGCTTCAACAAAATTGGTGTTGGTGAAAAAGTACATCAACGGGAGTTGGAGACAGGTGCTTCAACAAAATTGACTGTTGGTGACAAAGTGCATCAACGGGAGTTGGAGACATGTGCTTCAACAAAATTGGGTGTTGGTGACAAAGTGCATCAACGGGAGTTGGAGACAGGTGATTCAACAAAACTGGGTGACAAAGTGCATCAACGGGAGTTGGAGACAGGTGCTTCAACAAAATTGAGTATTGGTGATAAAGTGCATCAACGAGGGTTGGAGACAAGTGCTTCAACAAAAGTAGAATTTGGAGAAAAGTTCTCCAAGAAAACAATACAAACAATTCAAACGTATACAACTATGAATTACGTGAGAATGCTGTAAAACTAATTCAAAGTTGTAGTAGGAAATATTAGTTATTTAGGATTTAGGTTATTTAATTCATGTCTAAATAGGATTTGTAGTCGGAATTAATATAGCAATAGGCTTTCATGTTTCTAGTGGACATAGGTTTTTGTACTATCATAAATTGAGGTATTACTCGCTTATTTTATGAGTGAAAAAAAGTGGAAGAATTAGAGAACTATAGAGAGCAAAAAAAGTTTTTTAACAAAATATTTTTCTTTCAAGGGAAGGGAAGGGGGGAAGAAAACCTTATAGATAGACATAAACAACCGATACGAATAAGTTTTTGCCCAAATTTAATAACTAATTCTTTTTTCCTTCAATCTCATCGCTTGACATTTTAACCAAAAAACCTCAATCCTCTGGCTGTAGAAAGTGAAAACAGATCTGCTCGTTGATCAACTTGTGGAAAGGTTAATAATTAGCGGGAATAGATTGGAGCAGTTGATACTTGATGCATAAACAAAAACATCCAACGCCCACCGTGGGGCTCGAACCCACGACCACAAGGTTAAGAGCCTTGCGCTCTACCAACTGAGCTAGACGGGCTTGTTGGCTATGGTGTATTCTTCCAGAATTATGAAGACAGAGTGATAAATTGAAGCATCGTCTTGAAGTATATTTGGCCTTTCAGTCTTCGAATTTCAACCTTTAAGAGAAAGAGAGGTTTTTCTCTTTTTTCTTTTTTCATTTAAAAAAAAACAAAAACAAATGGTGTATATCTCAATCTTTCACGTCTGTTCTCATGATTAACTAGCATAGTACTAGTGTAGGGCATTTTACTTTTATACTTGTGAAATGTACGAATGGTTCAAGATTTGAATAAATTAGTGCAACGTTAAGTATACTCCCATTGTATAAAATCAAAAGGAAAATATAAAATAGTTTAGCTTAATATCGTTGCAAAAGATAGTCATATACTCATATAAAACTAGCCATAGAACTACAACTGTTACTTAATTAAGCTAACATGAAAAACACAGACTATGCAAGCACTCAGCAGTGCCTGATAGAGGAGCACATTCACACTTAATCCAACATATTACTAAAACAAACTTGTCCTCAAAAGAGAAAGAGAAATAGATTACACATGAAAAAAGCAGAGGTTCAAAAAGTTATTTCATTATTTATTCAGATTTGAAGGGAGTTGTAGATCCATTAACATTGTCTTCCATGCTTCTCAACTTCTCTCTTCTCTGTCAATATTCACAAAACACAAGTAATTAGAGAATAATACATGCTTTCTTTCTACGATTTAATTTCTACCTTACGAAAAGAATGAAAAGCGGGGGAAGTACACAAACAACCATTCTTAGGGCCGATATTTAAAGATTAGCCAGTACTTTTTTTATCCTGAAACTTTGAACTAATTTTTTTTAATTTTAGGACATTTGTGTCCCGAAAAATTAAATTAAAAAACTAAAATTCTGAACATATTGGTTAATTCCTAAATAGCAGTCCTCTAGAGTGGCTACTTTTTCTATGTCAAAAGAGTAAAAGAGAGAATATTTTTGTTGATACCTTTTCGAAGACTTCCTTCTGGTAGCGGTACCCCTGGAAAATAGAAGTTGTAGGAGAGGGTAAAACATTAATTAAATCAAATAAAGTGTATAATAAATAATATATAAATTCTAAACCATACCACTCAGTGCAACAACAAAAACCTCAATATTTTATTCCTTTTCTTTTTCTTTTGTGTTTTGAGATAAGCAACAAAAGGAAAAAAGAAAAAGGAAATTTTTTTTACATATCAAAATTTTGTTATAACAGCTTACCAACATGCATGCGGTCTTTTATCAATACATAGTTTAACTTTTTTTGTATTTTCTTATTAGGAAATCATTTTGTCTACTGAAATTTCATTTCTGTATATAAAGTTAATAGTAGACTGACTCACCTTGTCGGTTCCATAGATGTAATCACAGTAAGTGAAGACTGAAGCAAAGTTGCTGTGACAACTTTCCCCAACAAAGTGGTGATAGTCATGATATATTGCTCCCCCATAAAATGGTATATATTTTGAAGGACTCCATGGAAATTCATAGCTGCATTAATTAAATCATATATTAAAAAATAATTTAGACGAAAAAAAGTTGATAGGAAGTACTAAGAAAAAGGCTCAATTGAGCCGCAACTATCAAGAGATCCTGAACTGTGATATCTTGGTCACTAAGCAGCAAGCAACGACCACGGGGTCACTGAGCTTCAAACTCGTGACGTTAAGATTTGAATTGGACTGTTAAACTATCTTTTTTGAAATGGAAATTCCTTAATTAAATTATCATATGTACCCGCTATGAGTTTCAATGGCTTCAATTTGCCTCAAGACGAACCAAAGCCAAAAGGTAAACATGTGACAAGGGACCATAAGTGGGCCAAGAAAAGAAGCCAAGCCCAAGATAATAATCTCAGCCCAATGAGCATAAGGTGCTGCAAAACCAATTGGGGCCACATATTCATGATGTATTCTGTGTATTTTGTCATAACCCCATTTATAATGATGGAGCATTCTGTGAAGCCAATAGTTTGCATAGTCTTCAACTAAGAAATAAACCAGTAATTGCCAGAACACTTCTGATGCAGATGGCAGGGGCAAACTTGTCCTTATTCCAACCCACTGCACAAAAACTCAAACAAGAGTACAAAAATCAATAATGAGAAAAATATTCTATCTTTCTTGGCATTTTCTTCCCTTGTTTTGCAAAATGTCAAGGGCAATAACATGAAATTTTGGGCTGCATTTAAGGTTATTTAATTTACCAAGATATCTGGTTTACAAAAAAGAAAAAAGGGAAGTGGGAGAGGGAGAGGAAGGAACAAACAACAACAAACCAGAGTAATACCACAAGTGGGGTCTGAGAAGGATAATGTATATGCAGCCTTACCTTTACTTTGCGAAGATAAAGATGTTTCCGATAAACCCTCGGCTCAGGAGAAACATAGTCACAATATTTGTTGAAAGAAAACAATAATGTATAAACCATGAAAATTAAACAGTAACACGAAATAGTACCAATAACAGCAGGATAACAAGACAATTAAAGCAAAGAAAGAACCGATAATAATATAAGTCTAAGTATAAGAAAGTTCGAGAATATTATTAATCCTACAAGTAAGGAGATGGAGGAGAAAACAAATGTCAAAATCTCAACACAACCGTTTTAGAGTTGATTAGACGTTTGTTAATCCCTTGACTTAAACTGTAATCAAGAAATCGAAACTTTCAGTATAAATTACTGAAAACTCGTCCATAATTCAACGAAGTACACGTCATTGTCAGTAAGCTATTTTTTATGGATATTATATATCTCTAAGGGCTTCAAATTAAAGTATCAAAGTATATACATGTATAAATGAGATTAAGGAAATGCTTCAAAATTTTCTTTTGTTAGTTTTAAACCAACTCATACATGCAAGGTAATATTGGCAGTTTTCTACATGTAGAGCCTGTTTGGACATAAGAATTTTTTTTTCTTTTTTCCAAAAAAATTTCACTCTTTCCGAAATCAGACGTTTGTTCATAAAATTTCTAATTCTCACTTGAAGATGCATTTTGAAAATTTTCTAAAATTTAAAAAACTCCAAAAAGCTATTTTTCAAAATTTTCACTCAAATCACTCATAAAACTTCAATAACAACCCAAATTTATATTCATGTCCAAACACAACTCTAAAAAATTTCAAATACCATTTTCACTTTAAAAAAAAATTCCCCTATTTTGGAATATGTAACAAAAGTATTTAATTTATTCATGCAACATCACATAAGGGTGATCTCACATGCAAACAGTATAACTGATACATATCGATAGTGTAATTTTTTTTTACACCAACATGATATATAACAAGTTATTTACTTTATGGTTTATTTACACAGTTATCTATTGTTACCGATAGAAAATTTACACGGTCAATGTACAGAAAAAGAAATTATATAAGGTGCGAACACACACCTGAATAATAGGGTAAGAGAAGAACTGTAGTGGACTGACAGCAAATACAAAAGTGGTAAGGACTTTTCTGTAGCATTCCATCATTTCAGATAAAGAAAATCTGATCTTGGGTTGAATCTTGTAAATTTCCAACTTCTTGGACCTTAGTAGCTCAATAATCACCATAGGTAAAGGGACCAATGTGTAAAAAATGATCAAGAAAATGGTGTTGTGACAATAAAGATACAAATCTGATTTATCAGCTGTGTATTTGAACCACAATGTCTCTGCAAATGTCAAGTTCCTCCCCAGAGACATTTCTGCTTCTTGAATGCTTTCAAATGGCAACATTTTGGATATGTAATTGATTAATGTATTTCAACAATATTGGCTCATATGCTTAATTCTTTTTTTTTTTTTTTTTTTTTTTTTTGAAAATCTTGTTTTCTCTCTCTATATATTTTGGATATATACAGAGAGAGAGAGGGGGGGGAGAAGATGAAAAGAAAAAATTGCAGATAGGAGTTACAAGATTTATATAGAAAAAAAGAAGGAGATGATGAAGATGGTACTGTAGGAGAAAGGAAAGTGGAGGACTTTAAAATTTATAGGAAAGTAGTGGTGAAGAGAATTCTTAGGACTATCATTAGGTGTACTATAAATGTGGATTGGCCATTGCCCCTTTTTGCTTAGTATCCGTACTTTGTTTTCACTTTTTCTTGTTTGCATTTTGTTAGTCCATTATTAGATGTTGTAAATATTAATATATGGATTTTATGGGGATAAATAATTGTACATGAATTGTTATGTAGAGATTTTCTAATATGAGAATATTTATTTGTGAATAGTTACTTTTATTTGCAAATTGTGAATATATTTTCTTATATTTTATCTTGTGTAAAATAATTCGTAGATTTTAGTATAAGTTATATAAATTATTTAATAGTAATATAAAATTTGATTTGTGAATAAGTTATATAAGGATTATAATGTGAGAATTATAATACGAGATTACAAAATGGCGTGATTATTTTGTGCAATATATACTTTTATTGATATATATATATATANGGTAGCTTTCGCAGAAGCGGAGCCGCAAAAGCACAAGGAGTTCCGCAGGTGCGGAAAATCGACTGGGCAGAATATATATATACATATATATATATATATATATATATATATTAGACTAATATAATTTGGTTTATTAGACTAAAATGGAGATATACCAACTATAACATAGTACATGTATTTCGTTTTACACAAAATTTGGATAAACTTTTTAATTGTAATCTTAACTTACTTAAAGAACTTTGAAGAAGAGCAACAACAAAAATAACAACAAACTCAGTCTAGTCCACAAGTGGGTCTAGGGAAGGTAGAGTGTACGCAGATCTTACCTTTGCCTTTAAAAGGTAGAGAGGTTATTTCTGGTAGACCCCCGACTCAGGTAGAAAAAAGGGAAGGGACAATAACAAGCAAACCAATCTGACAACCAAAGCAAAAATACAAAACTAACACTAAGTAATGCAAACAGAAAACCGAAACAAGTCAGCAATAAGAATAATAACAATCTAGGGATAAAAAGAAGAACCCGAAGGACACTAAGAGATGTATCAAAGTTACTGTGACAAACAAGGACAACACTCGGCTACCTAACCCTCTATATTTATTCTCTACCTCCATACCTTCCTATCTATGGTCATGTCCTCAGTCAGTTTGAGCAATGTCATATCTTGCCTAATCATCTCACCTCAATACTTCTTCGGCCTACCTCTACATCCCCGTTGGCCCTCCAACGCAGCTTCTCACACCTCCTCACCGGAGCATTAGTGCCTCTCCTCTTAACATGCCCGAACCATTTAAGTCGCCTCCAGCATCTTATCTTCCACAGGGGCCACGCCAACCTTGTCCCGAATTACTTCATTTCTAATTCTATCCAACCTGGTATGCCCGCACATCCATCTCAACATCCTCATTTCATCCACCTTCATCTTCTGTACATGGGAATTCACTGGCCAACACTCCACCCCGTATAGCATAGTCGGTCTGACCGCCGCTCTATAGAACTTATCTTTTTAAGTTTTGGCGGCACATTCTTATCACACAGAACATTAGAAGCAGGCCTTCATTTCATCCACCCCGCCCCAATACGATGTGTGACACCCTCGTTGATCTCCCCATTCCCCCATATAACAGACCCAAGGTACTTGAAACTTTCTCTCCTAGAAATGACTTGTGAATCAAGTCGCACGTCTTCGTCCACAACCTGAGTCGCGCTACTGAACTAGCACTCCAAGTATTCTGTTTTTGTCCTGTTCAACTTGAAACCTTTAGACTCGAGAGTCTGCTTCCAAACCTCTAACCTCTCGTTAACACCACCTCGTGTCTCGTCAATCAGTACAATGTCATTTGCAAATAACATACACCACAGAACCTCCCCTTGAATGTGACACGTTAGTGCGTTGATTGCCAGGGCAAACAGAAAGGGGCTAAGGGCTGACCCCTGATGCAACCTCATGACAACCGGGAAGTGTTCAGAGTCCCCTCCCACTGTCCTCACCCGAGTCTTAGCTCCATCGTACACGTCTTGAATAGCCCTAATGTATGCAACACGTACGCCGCTAACCTTCAAACATCTCCACAACACCTTCCTCGGCACTTTATCGTACGCCTTCTCTAAGTCGATGAACACCATATGTAAATCTCGCTTCCTTTCCCTAGATTGCTCCATCAACCTCCTAACTTTGAAGAAGAGCATCTTCGTTATTTTATTCTGAGTTAAATAATTGTTTCTACATTACAAAACACAGATTCTTATGCCCAACTTTACGTCGTGATGTTTTAGGTTTAGGTAAATTTTTACTTGTTTCCTATATTCGCCTTTATCTATTTCTACATGCTATGGTATTTCATGTGCTTTATGTGTATATTTATGTATCACATGTTTCTCACGCCTCATTTGTTTGCACTTAATGGAGGTCTGAATCTTAATCATTCAGATCTCAGACTAAGTGTATTTATTTTTAAAGTCTGAATCTTAATCATTCAGATCTTAATCATTAAGCGAGTTTTTTTTATTTCACAATCACTTAATGGGTCTGAATAGGTCGGTATGATTAAGATCTATAACAAAGACTTAATTTCATTAAGATGCTATCATCCACATTCATTATTAATTGCCACCACCACCTACCATTATCAACTATCACCACGCCACCCGCCACCACCACTATTATCGACAACCACCACCCACCATCTCGCTACCCCCTCCACCATCATTCTCAACCACAACCACAAACTCATCCACCTCAACGATCACAACTAACTATTGGGTTTTAAGCATTTAATATGGCTTAAAAGAGGGTGAATGGGAAATTGAGGGAAATGAAATTTTTGAGTGAAATTTTAAGTTTCCCCCCCTTGACAAAGGGACATTGTCCCATATTGGAAGAGGAAGAGGTTTTTGATGAGTATATAAGCAATTTCTCTTCTTCTAGCTCTTAAAGAGTTGAGAAAAAGGCAAGCCTCGCGCCGTCGTCGTCGTTCGCTCGGCTCGGCTTCGGCTTCGGCTTCGAATTCGGATTTGGTCAAATGATTAATTGATTAATTTTTTGGACCAAATTTATTTGTTAATAGTAAATATTAACAGAATTGTTATTAAATATTCATTTTAATACAAAATATTAATATTAGTATTAATATTAATATTAAAATCCAACCGTTTTCAGTTTTTAGTTCTGTAACTGAAAATTAAACTTCCCTCTTCAATTCCCGGTTTATTATTGCATAAAATAGCCATTTATGTTATGGCATTTATACTATGGCCGTTTTGCATAAACAACCATTCTGAAGAGTTGCACCTCTTCAGTTTTCAGTCCAACATTGGCTATAAATACAAGTCCATTCTCTCAGAATTTCCATACGGTTTTCTGAGTTCTCCTCCTTTCTTCTGTATACTTTTACCTTCAAAGAAAGAAACAGTAAGTGTGATTTGCTACCGAACTTTGTGTTCGCTGAAACACTGGGGTTTGAAGTACCACTACTCCAGTGTGCAATTCGTTCTATCCTGGGAGGAAATAATCCATAACCTTGGGTACTATAAGGGGATTAAATTCCTTAAGGAAATATTGTGAATTCAGTGGGCTCGGATTAACTTTTGTTTCGTTTACATTTTCTGTTTATATGTTATTCTATCTTTTTCAAAATTAATTTACAAATACAGTTTACTAACAAGCTTAAGGAATTTAATATATTTTCTGTATTTGTGTTATATTCACTGTTCTGGAGATTAAAACCTTTGTGGTTTTCTACTCCGTTAGAGATTAAAATTTGCGTGATTTTAACGTTTGCTTGTGTCATTCTTTAACAGAAATGACTAATGATAACGGAAACCAAGCTGTTCCGATGGTGACTGCCAATGCATCGACAAGCCGAACACCGGTATTGGCACCGGCGGAGAAACCTGGAAAATTTTTCGGGTTAGATTTCAAGCGGTGCCAGCAGAAGATGTTCTTCTACTTGACTACTTTAAGTCTGCAGAAGTTCATTAAGGAAGATATTCTTGTTCTACCCGAAGAAACTCCAGAGGATGAACGCTTTCTCGTGATTGAGGCGTGGAAGCATTCTGATTTTCTGTGCAAGAATTATGTTCTGAGCGGACTGGAGGACGATCTGTATAATGTCTACAGTGACGTGGAGACGTCAAAAGAATTATGGATTGCGCTTGAAAAGAAATACAAACCTGAAGATGCCGGGTTGAAGAAATTCGTTGTTGCTAAGTTTTTGGACTATAAAATGGTAGATAGCAAGTCTGTTATTACCCAAGTCCAGGAATTGCAAGTGATTATTCACGATCTCCTTGCTGAAGGTATAAATCGAATTAATACTGATGTTGAAAGTGGTAATTTTAGTATTTTTACTAACAGAATTTTCATTGAAGGTCTTGTCATCAATGAAGCATTCCTAGTAGCAGCGATGATTGAGAAGTTGCCTCCTTTATGGAAGGACTTCAAAAATTACTTGAAACACAAACGCAAGGAGATGTCGCTTGAAGATCTCATTGTTCGGTTGAGAATCAAAGAGGACAACAAAGCTGCTGAAAAGAGAGGCCGTGGAAACTCAACAATAATGGGAGCAAATATTATTGAGGATACTTCTCAAAATAAGAGAAAGAGGAAGCAAGCTTCTGGATCAAAAAGCAACCCAAGCAAGAAGCAGTTCAACGAAAATTGCTACAACTGTGGAAAAGTTGGGCACAAATCTACGGAGTGCCGTGCTCCGAAGAAAGACAAGAAGAAGGGTCAAGCAAACATGGCTGAAAAGCATGAAGATGTTAATGACTTGCGTGCTATGCTTTCTGAATGCAACATGGTGAGAAATCCTAAGGAGTGGTGGATTGATTCTGGAGCCACTCGCCATGTTTGTGCTGTTAGGGAAGCCTTTGCAATATATGCTCCTGTTGGACCCGAAGAGACGTTTTCTATGGGAAATGCTGCAACTGCCAAGATTGAAGGATATGGGAAGATCTTTTTGAAAATGACTTCTAGAAAGGTGGTGACTTTGAACAACGTCCTTCATGTTCCCAAGATTAAGAAGAATTTAGTCTCTGGTGGACTTCTAGTTAAGAATGGTTTTAAGTGTGTTTTTGTATCCGATAAGGTTGTAATAAGTAAGAATGAAATGTTTGTAGGAAAAGGTTACCTCACTGAGGGCCTTTTCAAGCTGAATGTAATGGTTGTTGAGAATAATAATAAAATTTCAGCTTCGTCTTACTTACTTGAGTCAAATGAATTATGGCATATACGTTTGGGTTATGTCAATTATAAAACCTTGCGAAAAATTATTAACTTAGAAGTATTGCCTAAGTTTGAATGCGACAAATCAAAATGTCAAATATGTGTGGAATCTAAGTATGTTAAACATCCTTATAAGTCAGTTGAAAAGAATTCTAATCCTTTAGACTTAATTCGCACAGATATTTGTGACATGAAGTCAATACCATCTCGCGGTGGAAAGAAGTATTTCATAACTTTTATTGATGATAGTTCTTGATATTGCTATGTTTACTTACATAATAGTAAAGAAGAAGCAATAGACGCATTCAAGCAATAAAAAATGAAGTTGAAACGCAACTTAACAAGAAAATCAAAATGATAAGAAGTGATAGGGGTGGTGAATATGAATCTCCTTTTGAACAAATATGTTTAGAATATGGAATTATTCATCAAACAACGGCCCCTTACATGCCCCAATCCAATGGGATTGCTGAAAGAAAGAATCGTTCATTAAAGGAGATGATGAACGCATTGTTGTTAAGTTATGGTTTGCCACAGAACTTGCGGGGGGAAGCTGTTCTTACGGCTAACCGGATACTAAATCGAGTACCCCATAGCAAAACACAATCCATTCCATATGAAAAATGGAAAGGAAGGAAGCCCAACTTGAATTATTTTAAAGTGTGGGGGTGTTTGGCAAAAGTGCAAGTTCCTAAACCAAAAAGGGTAAAAATAGGACAGAAAACCATTGATTGTGTTTTCATAGGATATGCGACCAATAGTAAAGCATATCGATTTCTGGTTCATAAATCAGAAAATCCCGACATTCATAATAATACGCTTATAGAATCAGACAATGCTGAGTTCTTGGGAACTATATATCCGTATAAAAAGGAATATGAGTCGATTGGTGAAGGATCTAAATGACCTCGGGAAGAAACAAAAGAAAGTGCATTTAGTCAGGAGGATCCAAGACGTAGTAAACGTCAAAGAACGTCTACTTCATTTGGGCCAGATTTTGTGACTTTCTTATTGGAAAATGAGCCTCGAACATTTAAAGAAGCTATATCTTCACCGGATTCATTATTTTGGAAAGAGGCAGTCAATAGTCAAATAGAATCCATATTGAACAATCATACATGGAAATTGGTTGATCTTCCTCCTATAAATAAACTTTTGGGTTCTAAATGGATTTTTAAGAGAAAATGAAAGATGATGACACTATTGATAAATTTAAAGCAAGACTTGTAGTCAAAGGGTATAGACAACGAGAAGGTTGTTGATACCCAATTTTTCCCTATATATTTTAAATATGCATAAATACCTTCAAAATAGCATATATATGCATAATATAAGCATGCACAAGGCTTTATCATTTTTTTCCATAATTTTAAGAGTTTAAATTGATTTATTTTTTTCCTTTTATTCATAAAATCCCCAATAAATATTTTCCAAATTATTGTTATGATGAAATCTCATTTAATTTTTATACTTATGTCAAAATATGGTTAATATATTTTTTATATATTTTTATAATTACATTTAGTATTTTTTAAGCTACATTGCATATAATTGCAATGTTAGCCCATTTTAAGGAATAATTATATTTTATATGCATAAAATTGGTCCATATATTTTTAAAATGTTAATCATGTATTTTAAATCTTTTTGGCACCTTAAATTATTTTTCAGGAATTACCTACTATTTATTATAAAATTAAAATAGGGGAAAATTGGCTATTTAAATCATAGCCAAATTTGGCTTTCAATTGTAGCCCAAATTGGACCCAATCTCCAGCCCAATTTCCTATTAGATAACCCGACCCAAACCCTATAAACCCTTACCCAAACTCGGAACCCACCTACCCGGTTGAATCCTAACCGTTGATCTCCCGGATCAACGGTCCACACACGCCCTTTCCTTTTTAATTCCTAAACGACCCCCTAACCCTACTCATTTCCAAAACCCTGCCGCCCTGAAATC